AAAGGAATTAGCGCAACAAGACAGACCTCCGCGAAACCTGGAAAACCGGCGAAGGACTCCATACTCACATCGGCAGCAAACGTGGCGATAGCTCAAGCCCACCAAACATATCTGCAAACTCTGCCCGCTGCAATCAGCGAATCTATCCGCGAGGAGATGCGAACGGGCTTCATGCAGATGATGCAGAGCATCATGGATGTGCTTAGGCCACCAGGGAGCCAGGCCGAAGAGAATAACGCTGCGCGGAAGCTCTCGCGACATGTCGTGCAGGGGCCGGGAACCGGCACAATTCCGAAAGAGCGAGAATGGCATTTCCACCACCGGTGCCACCGAAGCCACACAGACAGGGCACGCGAGGAGCGGAGTACTCATCCAGCAGCCCAGTATATGTTCCCGAGGCTCATGCGAGGAACTTGTGGAATCCGAATAATCGCCATTTCCGAATGGAGGAAGCGTATGCCAACGTGCGAGAAGCAGCGTACCTCAAGCTCAAGAGGTAGAAGCGTCAAGTTCGATGGCGAGGACGCCATGAATTCTGTCGAGTACTTCGCGTTTTTGGGCTGGAGTTCCTGCAGAGGCAATATCAATGCCCTTGGAAGGAGGTCCTTCGCGGGTTTCACCTGCTCCTTACCGGCCGTGCCCGCGAGTGGTACTGCATGCAGGAACTACTACAGCGAGAGCAACAGACCAGCGAAGGGGAGGACGACTATGTTCACCACATGCGTCAACTGGCCGCGCGAATCCCGAAACCGCTGAGAGACCGCGAACCGGTAAAGATTATAAAGCGTGGCTTGAAGGAGGGTCTGGCAAAATACATCTATGCCATGGATGTACTAACCGTAGACGAGCTGCGCCAAGAATACATAGAAGTGAAAAGGCACATTGGTCGCAGAGGTCGGACCGGGTACGGGCACTCGTCGCGTTACTCACAAGGAACGAGCCCCACCGTTCACGAGGTTGACGTACCACCACCTCGTGCGGAAACATCGCCTAGAGAACTGGAGGAGGCATTCGTGCTAGGCAGGACATCATCTTGGCTAGTGTGCTGGAACTGTAGGCAGTTCGACCAAATCTTTTAGGGACTTCGTCTCTACGGAGCGGAAGATATTCTGCTACAGATGCGGAAAGACGGACACATTCTGTGCACAGTGCGAAAATTTTCCGTGTAACCCCAGACGGAAGGGCGCGCTGATGGCGGGACATGCGAGTTCAGGGACGGCGACTGCGGAAAAACAAGAGAGGAATACCTACCAAAACCATTAGCACTGATAAAGGATAAGAATATAGACCATGAGGACCAGGATAAGTTTATATATAAGGATAAAAATAAAGGAGGCTTACCATATGAAGAACGTGTTGGGCATACATGTCGGCCCGGAATAGAATTTTTGGTGAGCGACAACTGGAGGGGATGACATTGGCCACCAGAAGAGTGCTCAAAGTTCGGGCGCGTTTGCTCAGACGCAAGATGACGAGGCGCCAGGTCATCGAACCTGTGAAACGGGAGGATAGCCCAGAACCACGCGTATTCGCCGAAGTGGAGGTCGCTGGAATCAAAATCAAATGGTTGCTAGACACCAGTGCCTCGGTTAGTCTGCTGGGGAAAGGTGGTCAAGAATTAGTAGAAGAACTAGGAGTTACAGTGCAACCGTATGTTTCGGTATTCACGACCGCTGGAGGCGAGGATAAATCAATCATAGGTAGGGTAGAACTCCTAATCTCGTACAGGGAGCAGCATAAAAACGAACCTTTTTTATCTGCCCCTATCTGAAACAGCAAGCCTACTTTGGAATTGATTTCTGGCGAGCTTCTAACATAGCCTTTGATGTGTAAAAGGCTTCCTATCTACAATAGACCAGACCCACTATATCTCCAGTCTGGATCCGAAGTTCGCTTATTGGCAGGTCGAACTAGACGATAAGAACAAGCCCTATATCGCATTTACCGTACCAGGTAGGCCGCTATACCAGTTTCGCGTCATGCCATTTGGTTTATGCAATACAGCTCAACGTCTAGTTCGTCTAATGGACAAGGTAATTCCCAACGAGTTGCGGTCCAACGCCTTTATGTACTTGGAGGACTTATTAGTTATTTTCCCTGATTTCCCAACGCACTTGAAATATTTGAGACAAGTGGGCAAATGCTTAAGAGAAGCCAAACTCTCTATCGGACTGCAAAAATCCAAATTGTGCTTCCGGGCTTTAAAATACCTAGGATTCATTATTGGTGGTGGCACGCTTCGCATGGACCCCGAACGGGTTATAGGGTTGCTACCGGCGCTTTATGCGAGATTTCGCGGCAATGGCCGCCCCACTGACTGAAATGCTGAAAAAAGATAACGGAAAGTTTGTATTGAGTGACGAGGCAACACGAGCCTTTGAACATTTGAAGGCCGCCCTGACCACGGCCCCAGTACTTGTGCACGCGGATTTTCCCAAACCCCTTTTGTGCAGTGCCATGCGTCTCAGTTAGGGGTGGGAGCGGTATTTTTTCAAAAGGACACTGAAGAGCAGGAACGACCCATAGCCTTCTTTTCAGCCAAGTTGAACAAACACCAACGGAATTATTCCGTCACTGAAAAAGAGTGCTTAGCGTCGATAATGGCCATAAAAAAGTTCCGACCCTATATAGAAGGGATGCCGTTCACCTGCATCACAGACCACGCCAGCCTAAAATGACTGATGTCTTTGAAGGACCTAAGCGGGAGACTAGCACGTTTGACATTGCAGCTGCAAGGCTACAACTACCGGCTACCGAGCACCGTAAAGGCAGTGAGAACGTAGTAGACGACACCCTATGGCACAGTATCGAAGCCGTGGGAAAGGTTACGGAAAACCTTCTCGAATTTGAGACCGACGAGCTTGACTCCGCGGAATATCAGGCCTTGCTCGAAAGAGGACGTTCAAATCAGGACAAGCTACCGGATCTGAAGGTTGAAGGGAAGTTACTTTTCAAGCGTTTGGGAACGAGATAGAAGTTGGAAGACGAGTTAGAAGGCACCATTTGGAAGTTGCGGGTGCCAAGCTCGTTGACAGCCGGCTTTACGGGTGTGTCGTCATTGGGGTGTCGTGAAAACGCTCGAGACCTTACGTAGGCGGTTTTAATGGCCCGGCATGGTTAATCAGGTAAAGGATTGGGTGAGACAACGTGTGACATGCAAGGAAGTCAAGGCACCGAACTTTCGCATACAAGTGGGTCTAGGAGAAGAGGTAGTGACCGAGTGACCATTCCAAAAACTATACATTGACTTTCTGGGAAAGTACACACGTTCGAAGCAAGAGCACGCGTGGATATTCGTTGTAGTCGACCATTTTTGCAAAATCCACTTTCTTAAAAGCGATGCGGCAGGGTCCGGCTCTTAACGTGATGGAGTTTTTGGTCAGCGAGGTTTTTTATAAGTTTGAAGTACCCGAGGTCATCCACTCTGATAACGGACGACAGTTCATATCCAGTACGCCCCAAAGTTGTCGGCCATCCGGGCGTATCTAGAGCAAGATCACCGCGAGTGGAACCTTTACTTTCCGAAAATAGAGGTGTCCATACGAAATGCCATAAACACCGCGACTGGGGTGAACCCCTTCATTGCTATTTTCGGACATCATATGTTCCTTATCGGGGCATGCTACTATTTGGCTCGTAGTTGGCGTGTCTGAGTGATAAAAAGATCACCCATTTGCACCCAGCAGACAAAATACACCTGATTAGACAGCGAGTCCAAGGCCAACTACATCAGGCTTACGAAAGATGTCAGCGGCAGTACAATGCTCGAGCGCGGGTGTTCCAGGTGGAACCCGGACAAGAAGTTTCCCGATGTAATCTTGTGCTGAGCGATTTTGGGAAGGCTTTCAACGCCAAGTTTGCAAGAAAGTTTCTTAAGGCCAGAGTAGTGGGTCGAGTAGGCAACAACTCGTACCTGCTGGAAAACTTGAAAAGGAAGCTTTTAAGTGTGTTCTATGCTAAGGACATACGGGTGTAGATCAGGGTCGTGGGTGTGGCCTACGTTGGGCGCTCTATTTGGCCGGCTTAGCAAACCGGATAGAAAATGCGCACACAGATTCATCGTAACAGTCGATGCAGATGGGCAGCAACGGTAACCATATTTAAATGTATGCGTGTATCGAACTTCAGCACCTTTGATGTTGCTACCCAATGTAGGAGAGGAGAGTTCGACTTTGTCATCGGTCAACAGTGGGCGTGCCGGCACGAAGAAAAATTAGACGTCTGATGTTTTTTTCTATGCCGGCCACAGAGCAGGCACTCGCAAAGATCAAAGTGTATATATTTATTTATTTATTTTTATTATTTAATTGCAAAGATAACTCCTTAAGTGCTAACGTGTTGCAAAAAGAAATAGTACACAAGAACAAAAATACACAAATCAATAATACACCCTCGTGCTGCGCTTAAAGCAACAAGAAAAGGGGTACTCCATTAGAGCAGCCGCAGCCATTTGGTGGACAGATCAACCCAGTTATTGGCGGGCCAGATTTTCCAAGCACGGTCAAGCATCGGCGTAACCATCACGACGGCGAGACGAGCCATCACGGACGGGACTCCAACGACCAAGACGCGGCCATAGACGAGACCACGCCCACTTCATCGCTGAGTTCCACATCCACCTTCCCTCGCCTGAGTAAAAGGCAGAGGCCAAAGCAGACCCATATTTGAGGCTCCCTGAAAGAGAACAGATTTTTTTTTAAATTGTTAGCTCTAGTTTTTTTTGTAAATTAAATACATAATATACTCACGACTAGTCGCAATAAAGTAAATTTCCGTGAGTGCGAACAGGGAAGGAAATGGCCCAAAGATTATTGCGTCTGCCAAGTAAATATAGAAATTGAAAATTTAGATTTTGGTCAACTTATGTACGAGTGATACCCACTTATACGTATGTATATATATGCTCTGCATCTCAGGTGCAGAAGACACCTTATGATCGCCCTTACCGCCCCCACACAAAGAGCTCTTTAGGCAGGCAAGGTTATATAAGCGCTTTTGACGAACATAACGCGTTTCGTTGGAAACACATATGTATACAGGCATTTATTTTAGCGGGTACTTGCTCCCCATTGGTGCAATAATTACCTGTATTAATATGTCTCACCTTGTTTTTCTTTCTTTCTTTTCGTCTCCTGTTCCGTATAAAGGTTATAAAACAATACATTCTGTGCTAAGTTTAATATTTTCAAGATTAATATAAATTGTCTTAAATATGAAATTATGCAATACGTCATAGGCACCTGTTGAAGGCAAGTTGAGGAAGTGTCCGTTTGCCTGAAGTGATGCGATACTCTGTAACAAAAAAAAAAATTGAAATCTAAAATTAATATTTTTTGTTCTAAATATAAGAATATATCAACTTATTGTACGCACCCGCTTAAAATGCTCGAAATTTTCACGTGTACGAATTTATAAATAGAAGCTTGGAGATATCCTGCAGGGGAATAAAAAAAAAACTTAAATGTTAATATCAATAAGAAATGCAACCAATTATATACCGGAGCTGAAGAGAGAAATGCCCGGCTGAATTTTCAATGACGGGGAGAGTTGACATTACACCCGGCACAGGTTGATGCAGGCCATCTAATGGCCAAAGTGTGGGAGACGAGTAGGTGATCGTCTCATGGTAGGGCGGGTACGCTGGGTTCGGAGCCGAGACCCGATCTGGAAGAGAAAAGATTAATAGTGTTTTCTTTCTTTGTTAATTGATATTAACATTTCACCATTGTTGTTTACATTTACTTATCGCCACAGCTGTTTATATTGTTCATCTGTTAAAAGATTCGATTGTTTGGTGTTATCGATTTGTAATTCGCTACAAACGTGTAGCTTTATTGTTATTGATTGTGCGGACTGCGGGCCAGGGTTGGGACTGCACCCAGAGAAACCGATGAGCCAGCCGGCGCGGCCCACCGAGAAACAAGCAGTTCCATAACAAATGTAATGGAGTTAATATCGATTATGTGGACTGCGGGCGAGGAATGGGACTAAGCACCGATGAGCCAGCCGGCGCGGGCCAAAGGGAAGTCGCACGCCCGTAACAAATATATTGACCAACAGCGGGCAAAAAAGACTATCTATATATTAATATATTAACTGACAAATAAATAATGACATATGAAGAAATACTTGAAAAAATTGAAGATATATCTTCTAACGATGAGATCAGCTATTTTCATTTCAATGAAAAAGAGAGATCTGATCTCCACATGAAAAATGTAATGCTCAATCAAGGTATAATCTGCCATCTTTGATTTCGGCTATTTTAAATTTTTGTTCACACTTGGTTTAACATATATATTTATACCCGCGTCACTATTTATACAGCATCAATAACCGAACCGATCTAACCGTGTCCGTCCGTCCGCATATATGAACGCAAGCATCTCAGAACCTATAAGAACTAGAGATTAGATGTAGGTCCTCCAAGTGCCTGCGCAGATTGCGTTTTCGACAATCGATAATTTACTCCATTTCCAAGCAATCGATATCGAGATCCTGTTTTATTTAGAAATTTTGGTAAATATTAAGAGCTAGAGTCATCAAACTTAATATGTTGCTTCTAGGATGGTATACATATATCCAGTATTTTTCATTTTATACCTATCGCCACCTCCCCGCTAACACCTCAGAGCTATAAATCAAGTTAATAAACCAACTTATATTGCCAACTAATCTAATCCAAAATTTTACTGCAATTGACTTTTTGAGAATACGCAAATTTTCTATGGTACGTAAGATATACTGTAGAAAGTTTCATTAAGATCGGTTATGAGAAAACCAAAGTTATATGTAACTGCGCAATTGGATGGCTAAGCTAGCGAAAACATCAAGAACTTGTGGACACATGTACACACACATTCACGCGCGTCTGCTTCGCATTCTATCACATTCTAACAGCATTGTAATTGCGACTTTTTCTTTAATGCTATTTGAGTTCGTTTTTTTTTTTAAATAAAACTTAATTATTAGCGTGCTTGTTGAGTAGACGCATAGCAATTTTATTTATTTTAAGCACTGTCACCTTAAATCAGCGCGCGCGATTAAAAAAAGTTTTGGTAACAGTTAGTATTCCTGTAAAGTTATTTTTAACTAATAATTAATAAAATAAAATATATTATCTTCAGATTAATGCTTAATTACGGACCGCACATCATATATACTAAATAGTGCTGGAAAGTAGATATTTCCCAAAACTCTCTCTTGAAATGTGTTCAGAAGAAGCAGTAACCGTTTTAGTCTGTAGCCTGCGATTGCTATCACACTACACGTTTTTGCGTTTTGTCATTTTCGATTGCCAATTTGCTACTTTTGCGATTTTTAGTGATTTAACAACGGTTTTTAATCAAATAAACTATTTTAATCGGATCCGAGCGATTGAGAATAAATAAAATTCAGTGTTTCGTGACCATTTTAACAAAAACAGTGAACAAACGATAAAAACAGTTTTTGGCCGTTACGATTTGGCGTGTATGTGCAAGACACTTATTAGGAACCATATTTGTGCCAATGCCTTTGGTGTTGTGAAAAAGACACCTCCACCTGCACCAATCAAGTGTGAGATATTTGACTTGCCCGCGTAAATTCATGTATCTGTGCATTAGCTGCTGCAAGAGAAAAGACTTGTGAGCGGATTGTGATCGTCGTGAAAAGTGTGCCTTTTTTGGATCTTGATCAGGAGTCTGTTGTGGTTGTAAAATCTCAAGTTTATTTTTATAATTTTTATTTTTAAAATCTTTTTGAAGATCATTCAAATATTTAGTACCATCTTTGTATTGTATTTGATATTTGATATTGTATTATAATTTTTTTTTTTTTATTTATTTATTTATTATTATTAATGGTCGACAAAACGAGTGTCTTCCTCATTATTCAATAGATTATACCATAGATAATGTAATTATATGATATGGGCCTAGTTAAATAACACAATTTTCTAAGTAGCATCCGACTGATGGAGGTGTTTTATTTGCCAGTCCGCCCAGCTGTGCCCCTTTTCACAGCTAATTTTGTCAGTGACGCTATTAGAGCGTACTTCTAAGCAGAAGGGTGTAAGTAGGAAAACGTGTTCTTCAGTAAAATTAACAATAATCTAAATTTGCTATTTTAATAAAGAAAATACAATAAATACGAAAAAAGAAAATAAGAAGATTTTTAATAAAGTAACGCAAAATAAGCTAGATATAAAGAGTGTTAAGAAGATAGGTCAAAGAGAAATGTAAGGGGAAAACACCGACCCGCTGGGGGAAAATTTATGGCCTGTCCGGCAAGCTATGCCCCTGCTCAAAGCTGGGAATGGTCAGTTACTTCCCGAATGTATCCTGAAAGCAACGATTTTATTAGGAAGAGTAGAGAAAGTTCGGTAGTGAAAACGAGATCCAAACTATTATAATTTTTACATTGCACGCGAAAAGGATTATGCATAGCGTAGTCTGTTGTGCAAGTAGGTAGGAATAAGAGGCGATCATTTCTGTTTGGTCTAGGCGGAATAGAGAATTAAAGACGCCCTAACAGAAATGAAGTGTCTTTATTGCCAATAATCAACTTATGTAGAAGGACAACTCCGAGAATTGTCCTACGGTTGGTTAACGACGGAGGGTCAAGAAGAAGCAGCCTGCTGAACTAGGATGGCAACCGAAGATTGGGGTCCCAAATTAAACTTCGTAAGGCAAAAATCAGAAATTGCTTCTGAACAGATTCAATACAATCCTGGCTATTGTTATACTGCGGAGACCAGATGCAAGGGCAGTATTCAAAGATAGGGCGAACAACAGAGTTGTACAGAAGTTTTGTTATAACCAAAGTTGCATATCGTTCAAATCGTCTTGTAGACGAGAATGATGTAGTGGATTAGTGTATGATAGAATAAGTTTCACATCGTCCGCATAAATGAGTACACGGGCAAGTTATATAACAGAGGGGAGATCATTTAAAATAAAGAGTAAAGAATAAAGGTCCAAGTTGACTACCTTGAGGAACACAAAAAGTAATGTGAAGCTCCTTAGAGGTAGTCAGCCTCATCATTACTCATTGGGTCCTACCTTTTAAATAAGAACTAAACGGTCAATATTAAAAAGTAAAATGTCATGATGCACAGAGTCAAACGCCTTACTGAAATCAGTGTAAGTGACATCAGTTTGCATTTTTGAAAGGAAAGCATAATTTACCAAGGAAGTAAACTCAAGCAGATTGGTCGTAGTTGACCGATTCTTTACGAATCCATGTTGAACAGCGAAACAACTGATTTGCAAAAATGCTGCAAGTTCGAAGTGATTATTTTTTCAAATAATTTAGGAATAGCAGGACATTTTTGCAATGCCCCTGTAATTTTGTATATCAGACTTCCCACCTTTCTTGTGAAGAGGAATAATATAAGATTCTTTCCATAGAGATCAGGTACAGCCCGTTCCTACTGGAACTACTACAGGGGTTGAAACAGGGGTAATTGGACGTCGCTTGGAGGATCGTTAATCTGTTTAGACCATCGTTTAATGAATCTAATTACACCTTTGCTTCATTAACGATGGTATCGATGTAAAGATTGAAACAGAGTTTAGAATCAAACATAACGCCTAGATCCTTAACTGTTAGTCTACGTTGCAAAGGGATATTGTCGATTGTATAACTGACAAGATATGGTGTAGTATGATTAAATTTGATAAGCATACACTTTGAACAATTTAGAAGCAATTGATTGGCCGGACACCAAAGTTGCATATCGTTCAAATCGTCTTGTCGACGAGAATGATGTTGTGGATTAATGTATGATAGAATAAGTTTCACATCGTCCGCATAAATGAATACACGGGCAAGTAATATAACAGAGGGGAGATCATTTAAAATAAAGAGTAAAGAATAAAGGTCCAAGTTGACTACCTTGAGGAACACAAAAAGTAATGTGAAGCTCCTTAGAGGTAGTCAGCCTCATCATTACTCATTGGGTCCTACCTTTTAAATAAGAACTAAACGGTCAATATTAAAAAGTAAAATGTCATGATGCACAGAGTCAAACGCCTTACTGAAATCAGTGTAAGTGACATCAGTTTGCATTTTTGAAAGGAAAGCATAATTTACCAAGGAAGTAAACTCAAGCAGATTGGTCGTAGTTGACCGATTCTTTTCGAATCCATATTGAACAGGGGAAACAACTGATTTGCAGAAATGCTGCAAGTTCGAAGTAATTATTTTTTCAAATAATTTAGGAAAAGCGGACAGTTTTGCAATGCCCCTGTAATTTTGTATATCAGACTTCCCACCTTTCTTGTGAAAAGGAATAATATAAGATTCTTTCCATAGAGATGGAAAGACAGAAGATTAAATTAAAATTAGATTAAAAAGCTTTAGCAATGGCTTAAAAAGGGAAGAACCACACTTCTTGAGTAGACAACTTGGAATATTGTCCGGCCCAGGAGAGTAAGAGATTATAGCCAATAGGAGAGAAGAGTGTGAAATAATGGGAGGAGGTATAATACTAGCGGAAGAAATAGTACAAGGATACGAATTAGTATTAGGACAGACTGAATAGTAAGTTGAATGGAAAAAATTAGCAAAGAGGTTAGCAGAATCAGAGTCATTGCTAGCGTTATCCATCCCGAGAAAAAAGAAGATGGCACAGTTGAAATTTACGCTTCAAAATTATAGAACTGTCTTGAATTTTA